CCTTTGCATTTGTCTGAACGTTTAAAAATTACGTTGTCGTCCTTACGTGCTTCTTCCAGCGCATCTTTGTCTGCTTTTGAATGGTTTGATTCACATGTTTTATGAGTTTTATAAGCCGAAATAATGTTTTTCTTAAGTTTAGTCATGGTCTTCTCCATTGCTGGAGGAGCAGATGGAGCCATTTTAGCAGCAGTGTCTGAAAAGCGCGGTATGAATGAAGAGGGTTGCACCGGACTTACCTCCTGTGAGCCTGTGTTTGTGTTGCCACTGTCTTCGGTGTTTTGCTCTGTGTCCTTGTTTGTCCCTCCTTGTCTGGATTCAATAAAGTGGCGCCAGCGAAATGCGAATGCCCCCCTTTCAAACCCGATCTCTGCGTCCTCTATCACTTTCTTGTTGACGGCCCTAGATAATGCAAACTTTGGCCCCATATTCAGCATACGGGTAAGGTCAGGTGGAAGTTCTGTGTTAAGGAGGTTGTGCACCGTGCTACTGTCTTTAGTGGTTCTCTGTGTCGTAGTTTTGGCATGTGTCTGTTTTTGCTGGTCAGTAAGCAGGTGGGTTGTGTTCGTCATGCTTGCATTCTTGCCTGGTTTCTGTGGCAGAGATGGTTTAGTGTCTGTCTTTGGTTGGCCGTCGGGCGTCTTTCGGTGCATGGGTGAAGTGTGGGCGTGTGTGTGCTTGGTTACACCGCAGTTAGGCACATCTACATCGCTCACATTAAACACATCGCTCACATTTTCCACAGCATCGTACCATACTTCACTTAGGTTTTCTACACGTTGCAAGTTCCTCGACACGTAATCGATATCGAATGTGCCCGAATATAACGAGAGTGCACTTGAGTGCTCGAAAGTATCTGGATCCTGGGCATCGAACCAAACATCGTCCATATCATCGCTATCTTGGTTACAGTCCGAAAAGGTGATCGAATGCTGACTCTCGGCGCTGTTAACATGAAAAGCTGTTTGGTTGTCGCTATCGTGCAGTCGATTCGGATTGCTCACCTTGTCTGAATCTGGAGAGTTCACCTGGTACTGTGGATCTGAAGAGTTCTCCATGTCCAGCTGGTGGGTGGCATATTCTGCTACGACGGCTACATCTGTTTCTTTCGCTTTGTGTCCTATATCTTCGGCTGCCTGAAGTCCATGAGGGGTTTGAGATTCGGTTGTGATCTCTGTTGGTCCTGTGGACGGTTGGTCTGCTCTATTTAGATCCCTGTAGGCTTCTTCTATATACTTGTCTTCTTTATGCTGGCGTTGGCGTTATAGAGCAGACCAACCGTCCACAGGACCAACAGAGATCACAACCGAATCTCAAACCCCTCATGGACTTCAGGCAGCCGAAGATATAGGACACAAAGCGAAAGAAACAGATGTAGCCGTCGTAGCAGAATATGCCACCCACCAGCTGGACATGGAGAACTCTTCAGATCCACAGTACCAGGTGAACTCTCCAGATTCAGACAAGGTGAGCAATCCGAATCGACTGCACGATAGCGACAACCAAACAGCTTTTCATGTTAACAGCGCCGAGAGTCAGCATTCGATCACCTTTTCGGACTGTAACCAAGATAGCGATGATATGGACGATGTTTGGTTCGATGCCCAGGATCCAGATACTTTCGAGCACTCAAGTGCACTCTCGTTATATTCGGGCACATTCGATATCGATTACGTGTCGAGGAACTTGCAACGTGTAGAAAACCTAAGTGAAGTATGGTACGATGCTGTGGAAAATGTGAGCGATGTGTTTAATGTGAGCGATGTAGATGTGCCTAACTGCGGTGTAACCAAGCACACACACGCCCACACTTCACCCATGCACCGAAAGACGCCCGACGGCCAACCAAAGACAGACACTAAACCATCTCTGCCACAGAAACCAGGCAAGAATGCAAGCATGACGAACACAACCCACCTGCTTACTGACCAGCAAAAACAGACACATGCCAAAACTACGACACAGAGAACCACTAAAGACAGTAGCACGGTGCACAACCTCCTTAACACAGAACTTCCACCTGACCTTACCCGTATGCTGAATATGGGGCCAAAGTTTGCATTATCTAGGGCCGTCAACAAGAAAGTGATAGAGGACGCAGAGATCGGGTTTGAAAGGGGGGCATTCGCATTTCGCTGGCGCCACTTTATTGAATCCAGACAAGGAGGGACAAACAAGGACACAGAGCAAAACACCGAAGACAGTGGCAACACAAACACAGGCTCACAGGAGGTAAGTCCGGTGCAACCCTCTTCATTCATACCGCGCTTTTCAGACACTGCTGCTAAAATGGCTCCATCTGCTCCTCCAGCAATGGAGAAGACCATGACTAAACTTAAGAAAAACATTATTTCGGCTTATAAAACTCATAAAACATGTGAATCAAACCATTCAAAAGCAGACAAAGATGCGCTGGAAGAAGCACGTAAGGACGACAACGTAATTTTTAAACGTTCAGACAAATGCAAAGGCATGGTGGCGATGTCCAAAGACTCATACATAGAGAAAGCTAAGGCTATAATAACAGAGTACGAGCACATCCCAAAAAATCCAACTCCAAAACTAGAAGCACAAACCAAACGAGTCATACATCAGGAAATGGACAGCAGCGTCTCAGAAAAACTCATCAAAACTATTATCCCAAACGGTTCACGAACGGCAGAATTTTACGGATTACCTAAAACACACAAGAAAAACACTCCGCTCCGACCCATAGTTTCTGCATGTGGCGACCCATTAGACAAACTGACTTGGCTTTTGGAAAGAATTGTGACGCAACTTCTCCCATTCATACCCGCGCATCTAAAAAACACAGAACAATATCTCTCGGCTTTTAAAGAAAACTTCCCCAACTCTCTTCCACCGGGTTCCATTGTTTTCACGATGGACGTACAGAACCTCTATGGAAATATACCCACCGATGAAGCTGTAGATGCTGTCTATCAACTGATTAAGACTCACGAAAAGAAGCTAGACCTATTTGGACTCACACCCGACAACTTCAAAGCCCTTCTTAGTCACTGCCTTCATCACAACTATGTCAGATTTGGCGATGACTTTTACAAACAGACTAAAGGGATAGCCATGGGAAGCAGAGTAGCACCCCCCTTGGCTATCACCTTCATGCACACGGTGGAATCCCTCCTACTAGCGTCACCAATGGAACAGCCATCTATCTACCTTCGCTACATCGATGACATCTTTTGCGTATGGACCCACGGCGTAGAGGCTCTAGAAAGGTATCACAAATTTGTCAACTCATTCCACCCCTCACTCAAGTTCACTCTAGAAAGAACCGACCCAACCCAAATCTCAAGTGTCCCATTCCTCGATACCCTGATCACAGTCCATCCGACAGGACAGTATGAAACGGAACTCTACTTTAAGCCGATGGCGTCACCAGTCATCATCCATTTCACATCAGCTCAACCAATGCAAGTTAAGTTAGCTGTCCTTAACTCGGAACTAACGCGGGCTAGAAAAAATGGCTCGAACCAAAAAGCGATAGAGAGGGGAACCAAAAAAGTGGAGAACATCTTTCTAATCAACGGCTATCCGAAACGCGTCATCAAGCGCGCCATTTTCAAAGTCAGCCACACATCAGATCAGGAGAGGAGAACTCGGAAAGACAGAAACCAAAACACTACCTTCATCTCACTTCCTTTCATAGACGATGACCTCTCACGTAAGATCAACGCAAAGGTGAAATCTTCCGGACTCCCTATCAAAATTGCATGGCAAAAAGGACAAACGATCTCCAGTATTCTTACGCGATCGGCACTTCATCCCCCTCAATGCCCGTCAGGAAACAAAACGTGTAATGCCTGTGAAGCAGGCATTCGAGGAAAATGCACATCCAAAAACGTCGTATACAAAATTACCTGTGCCACATGTCAAAACGCTACTTATATAGGAGAAACAAAGAGACCCATCCGACTTAGATTCAATGAGCACTTACGGGATGCGAAAAACAAGACAGCAGACACTCCTTTCGGTGACCACGTACGTACCCAACATCCAGACGTCATCATATCAGCGTCATCTATGCAGCTACAGATCATGCGTAGATGCAAAGATGTAGCAGAACTTAAGATCGCTGAATCAAAGTACATCCGTGACCTACGCCCAACACTCAACACTCAAACATCATCTTGGAAGCTGATAGCTCCACCACCCTACGGACCATGATAGTAGCAGAGGTGTAAGTATACGAGCACGAAGTACAAAGACGTCCAAAGACGAGTACAAAGACGTCTCACTCCGCCTGTTCACGCTTGTAAGTATTCAATATGCATCTTTATTCATTCTCACACATTCTCACCATTCATTATCTCATTCCTTTAGCTGTACATTCATTCATTCATTCATTCATTCATTCATTCATTAAGTTACTTACTACTCAGGTCCAAAGCAATAGGTACCATGTGTAATATATATGCTCATGCTTCAAATTTAATAACTCAGTTCCACTTACAATCACACTTCTCAATCATACACACGATAGTCAGTCACACAAACACAACCCCCCCCCCCACACACACACACATTAAGAACGTTCTTTACAAGCTCACACACATACTCCTCTCACAAATATGCTTATTAATAATTTCTATTCTTTTACATCGTTATTATTGGTACAAGCTACTTGCATACACTCACAATCATCTAACTTTGTATCACACTCTCAAAGAAGAGGATGGTCGCTAAATGTGTCAGGATGTGTTAAAAGGCGAGATCACAATTTTCAAAATGTATCTTTTAGGAGATCTGATGATGGGCTATGCCTGAAACTGTTATCTCTTTCTTCTCGGTCATAATTTAGAATACATTCATTATTATGAGGCTTCGGTTTTCTTTCATCATTATACTTATCATCATGAGCCTCAAACAAGCGCTTTCTCATATTATTCAACAGAAATATTTTACGTTTGAAAGCATTTGTCCCATGTAACCCGATACAGGATATTCTTGGGGATGTAATCAAGCAAACATTGACCTACCTTGCACGACGGTCGCTGCCATCAGCACCAGAAGTCCCCACCGTAGTCGGCACTCCATCGTAGCGGCCCTCAGAGTCCGCAGCGCGGCCGCTGCTCACTAAAACCGGCACACCTCAGCCGCAGGTGCGGCGCAGTTCAGTCCCCAGTCCGTCCGCTGAACTCTACACCACCTCTCCAAGCGTCCACCGAGACAGCTCTGGCATCAGCTGCGTTCTGACGTCACCGCCGGTCCCTCACATGCTCACGCACACGGTGCACCTGGTCACTCGCCCTACCGTCACCGCCGCCAAACTCGAAATGAGCTCCCGCCGCCCGGCCGGCCGCGGCCGACCTCAGCGCCCCTGGCGGCGGGAGGCGGAACTGCGGCTGGTGTGGACCGCCGCGCCGGCCCGCCGATCCTGTGTCGCCGAGCCCTGGTGGGAATGAGGACTCGGAGATGGACGCTGTCCGCTCGCGCTCACGGATTCCGTCACCGTGATCCTGTTTGTCGTCAGAGGAGACCGCCCTCCGCTCGAGAGACGCGCGCGGCTTAGCTCCGTTCCGGCGAAAATCGAGACGGCGGCCGCCCGCCCGCCCCGGTTAGCGTTGACCACAACAAACCGCTCAGGCCTGTCACTGAGCGTTAGCAAACAGGACTGACGCTGAGCAGCGGCGGCGTCCGAGCTGCTCAGTGCCGCGCCCGCTGCGCTGCTCTGCACAGAGCACTCCCAACAGAGGAGACGGTCACCGAGACACCTGACCACCTTGGCTGGGTGGCCAACTGAGAGCGGGGGCGGCTCAGGTCGGCCGGGGCGGCAGCGGCAGCTCGGGCGGCGCCGCCAGCTGGACCGGGGTCGCGCCGGTCGCGACGGACGCGACGCGCAGCCGGCGGCGCCAGGTATTTCGGGCCCCGTCTGCTGGTCGGCGCTAGTGCGTGCCGCGCGATGACAGATGCGATCAACCCGTTGGCTCTCCCTGGCGCCCGAGATGAGCCGGAGATTATCAATGTTTGCGGCACACTTTTTGGCACGAATACGCATAACATTTCAGGAAGAATGTTGATCCAGTCGTGAATCTTGTGGCAAATCATTCCTCCGCTAATATAGGACTCAAATTACGAAAAATACCGCCCCGTAAAGTCATCGTTGCACGGCTGTAAAATCTCACCACCCGGTGATAGCTTTCTGCGTTCGTTGCAGTCTCCCGTCCCCTGTCGTGCGGCTGTGCCGGCGAGCACGTCATCCCTGCGGCACAGCCTACCCTCCCCGCGCCGCGCTGGTGTTATAGACGCACTCATTGATTGATATTCCCTGTTTACGGCTGTTGGCGCGGCGGGCGGTATCCACAGCCTTGAGCGGCGAGTTTTTACCAGCGGCGCGCTGCTCTGGCGGCGATTTTCAATATTCTCCATTAGCCTAGACCATACAGAGGGTTTTTGCCGGCAGCTGGCGTGGTGGCGGCACGCCCCGCTGCCAGAGACGGCCGCGGATAAAAACGGAGCCGAATTAGGCCTTGATTGGATTGTGGTTCACGCGGAGCCGACTGGCGCCGCCCGGCCGCCGGCAGATTCGGCACCGGCGGCGGCTGAGTGGCCTTACTAGAGGACTCCGCCCCCGTGTCTGACCGAGAGATGAGACGAGGGGGCCGTCTGCCAGGGAGCCGGGCAGGCGGCTGTCAAATCGGCCACCTGGCCCGCCCCGGGAGACAGTCTGAAAACTCGGCCAGAAATCTGTCACAGACGGACAGCAAATCTGTCACAGCCGGAGGACCGATATAAATTCGTCCATAGCGACCGTCACCTGACGACAGCGTCATCGGCATCGCTAGCAGGCCGTGATGACGCCACCTCTCCCACCCTCCCCTCCCTGCCATCCAGCCCCTGGGAACCCAGTCGAGTGAGTGGCCGGTTAGCACCGCCGGCGGCCAATGCGCCATCATTACGCACCCACCGTGCACATACGGCACTGACCCCGGGGCATACGGCGCTGACCCCGGGGCATACGGCGCTGACCCCCGGGCATACGGCACTGACCCCGGTGACCTAAGCGCCGGCGGCGCGCGCGCTCCGGCAGCGCTCTGCAGCCGCGCCGGGTTTCCGGCCATTATGGCGCTGCTGCGCCGGTTTTGGCGCCGCGGCGGGTTTATCGCCGCAGTAGTATCTGTCTTATCCGGATCGGAACCATGCGAGGACATCCGGCCGGCGAGGGTAAGTCGGGCGTAATGAGCGGGTGTCTTGATCATGCGGAGAACGCTGCAGAGGTGGGGAGGCCGGGATGTTACTGCGCTGCACGGTGCACTCATTAGTGCAAGGACAAGCAAGACGTAAAATTACTGCACGGCAGATGCCTCCGCACGAATATGAGTTGACTCATTAGCTCTAATGCCTTAGACAGCATGGACGCGGAGAAAATTGGTCGATCTATCACTTTCACCCCGTTCGGGTCGGAGGCTCAAAGGGTTTCGTAATCTGGCGCATATTGGGGATCACGCCAATATCCCATCACTGACCTCAGCTAGAAAACAAGTAAAAAGATGAATCAATCACCCACGTTTTCCCCGGTTTATTTGTTTTAGTAAATCGTTATCAAAATATTCCAACGATAAACAATGTCCATTGTTGCACTGGGCAACACTCTCCATATTTTTATGCTTATCGTTCGTCAAAAATCATTAGATCTAAGAGACCGGCAAGTGGCAAATTCGCTGGAAAGTTATGTAATAATCGAAGAAAATGTGAAAGAATTTCGTTTATAAGGTGCACTGCGCAAACACGGCTGATGTTTGCTTCCAGACATTCACGTAATGTTACTATTTGTGCATTTGTAGCACTCTTGTGATATAACACTTCTTATTTAGGCGTTTCCTTTCAAAACACTTATGCTGTCGTAGTGGAGAAACCATTTGATTACTTTGAAAATTAGTCATTTCTGAATAATTTAGGGAGCCTCTTACTGAAGATATCTGAAGATATGTGTACAAAGGTCGGAAAAGCTGGTGTGTACGCCAGTGTCGCTTACTCGTCACCATTCCCACCAAGGCTTTTGCACATCAGGCAATGCATTGGTGACCTGAGTTCACAGATACATGCATTCCTGAAGATGAGCTCAACATCAATTAGCGACGATTTCATGAGTGAATTATAATACAAGGTGGCATATTGATGTTCCCATAAATGCATCGGACGCTTGAAGTGCAATCGTTCATGACTTATACGTGCAGTAAGTGATGAGTTGTTGCAGAGGTTATAGGCGCAGGGCGTGTCACTGCCGTGCTCACTGCTCAGTCAGAGGTGATAGTGCAGTGAACACTGCAGTGTTCAACGTAGAACAGCGTTTATTCGGACTGTCTGCTGTGGCTCTCTGTAATTACGAGCTTCAATATTGGCGAACTTCGGGTCCATTTTGATTGGGAAAATCAAGAACACAATTATAAGGAAAAATCCGTTGGTTGCAAATGACCAATCGTCTCGTTTAGGACGTCTACTATGTTCACCTACAAATGCTCCCTAATTGACCCAATTGCACACTGACACGGTTCCCGTCAGTAGATCAGTTCCGAAACACGATCCAACGACAGGCGACTCTACCCCGTTCCTACCTGTACCGGCAGCGAACGGACCACCGAGGCCACCTCACCGGCGGCAGCAAAATTAGCGGGCTTGGCAAAACTCGGCCGCCCGGTTGTTGTTGGAACCTACTCAACTGTTCAAAGCCGGCCGGTTCGGCCGACGTTTATTTTCATTTGATGCCGCATCGCCGGTGGTGTTTAAAGGGACTATCCCACCTTCTAAAATGTTGTTAAAACCAATTAAATTGTGCCCGACTTTATAGATTGGATGACCAGGAACACGGTTCTGGCATTTATTTTTCATTAACCCGCGCCCTGGTGTGGGTCTGAGCCACCTTCGCCCTGGTGGGGGGGGGCCAAAATGACCCCCCCCCCGTCTAACTCGAAAACGAAGAGGGCTAGGAAGACGCGGAAAAAAGCAAACGAAAGCCCATAACAAGTACGTTCGAAAGTATTTCGGTCATTTTTTCGCTAAGGTCAATATTGAGGTCGCTAGAGGTCATCATAGGTCAAATTTCAGTGTTTTCGGTGTTGCCGGACATATTCCGCTGTAGCTCGGAAACTAGAAGAGCTAGAGAGCCGCGGAAAAAAGCAATCGATAGCTCTTTTAAAGCTCTTTCGCCAAGGTTCGTCAGATTTGACCTCAGCTCAACGGTTTGGCCTACAGAGGTCATGCAAGGTCAACTTGGCAAATTTCGTTGAAAATGTTTTTAACTATAGCATGCATTCACGAGAAAATAGAGAAACGATTCATGCACCATCGTGCTTGGCTCGTCGAGACGCGTCGAATGATATATAGTTTGACCTCGAAAGGTCATTTTGAAAATTTGACCTCAGGTCAAGGTCATGACCTTACCGAAATAGGTCATGCTGCATATCATTCGATCCGCATTGACGAGACAAACACGATAAACGTCGAACGGAGTCTCTATCTCTATTCAATAACAAGTAAGTGCAGAAAAACCGCTGGTGACCTCTGGTGACCAGGGAGATGACCTAGCGTGACCTCAGCGAGGTCACAAGCAAATGGTTTCACATGGGCTGTGATTTGCTGACCCAAGACACTTCAATAACGAAATATAGGAACAATCACGCCCGATTTAGCTGAAAAACAACTACTTTTCGATTCTCCCATTGACTTATAATGGGGAGCAGCGATGACCTGACCTGACCTTAGGTCACATTTATAAAAAATCCGAGATAGCCATTTTGTAGAGCTGGGTGACATCTTCAAGTACTGTAAATTTTACATCGATCGGATAAAAGCTGTGCCTTTGAGAGAGCTTTGAACTTTTTTAGAGGTGGTGTCAGTTTTGGTGACCTTGTGACCTGACCTGACCTGACCCGAACCCCCAAAAAAAGGACATGATGTAAAAATGTTGAATAAACAGCTATACAAAGTTTCAGGGCGCTAACTCAAGTGGTTTCTGAGTTATCGCTGAAAAACCACAGGGGGGGGCCAAAATGGCCCCCCCCCACCAGGGCGAAGGTTAAAGATCTTAGGCTTCCCATATTCCAAACACAAACTTTCAAATATGTGACGTCACAGCCCAAAATTACCTCCTTCCCCAGGCCACATTACTGTCATAAAGCTGATTCTTTTTACTCTGTAGGCACGACAACAAAGTTCAGACCAAGTTTTAAGCAATTTTTCAACGAACAAACCCATTTAAATCAGAATGACTAAACGAGGTGACGTCACACTAACGGTCGCTCCATGTTGAAGATAGGGCCTTGTACAAGGCCCATTTTCAAATGAAGGGAACGAATTTCTTCAACACCAAGAGGCCGCGGGGGTTGCAACCTAGATAGATAGTGGTTTCTGAACCTCGCCGCAAACTTGGCTATCTCAACTCAAACCCCATGTTAAAGGTGGGATAGTCCCTTTAACATAGTCAGGAAGACCTCGCGGCACCGCATCGACAGGCACGGAGGCGACATTTGCTCAAATTGTCGACCTGACGCTCCCTAGAGTTTGCTGCTCAAGCTCAGCATGGCAAAACACCGTCGTCCCAAATCGTCGCGGCGTCTTCAGTTCCCACCGGATCCTCTTCCCTCAGCGGGGACTAATCAGCCCTCGTAATGCGCGGTCCCACACAAATTATTTCCGCTGATTAGCTGTCGGGCTCCCCTCCCGGGGCCCGCCTTCCGCTCGCTCCCCGGCGGGGCGGGAGCTGGAGCGTCCCCGGCTGACGACGGTCGGCCCGCGCCGCTGGCGCCGCCGCTCGACGCTCCGTCGGCCGCCGCCGCTGGGTGGTAGTTCGCCGCTCTGGCGATAGATGTCGCTGCAGGTCGGGTGGCGCGCGCACACGGCTGCTGCCGGTGGCGGCGGCGGGAGCGACCGGCGGGCAAACGTGGGTGCTCGCGGCCGACGGAGGGAGTCATCGCCGGCAGCTATGTCCGCGGCCGGCCGCTGGAGGCTCGGCCTGGCCTGCCTGGCCCTGCTCTCAGTGCGAGGTAAGTGTCGGCGACTCGTGCAGAGGTGACGAACCACTCGGATCGTATTGCAAATTGCAAATGATTGTTTCCGCAAAGTATCGCTTTTTGAGGGAAGAGGGCAATTCTGTTTTACAAGACCATTATAACAGCTTCGTGAGGCAAACTAATTAAGCGTGTCTCTTCATTTAGTCGGGCTCACACGTTTTAGGCTGTTTGCTCCGGTGCGTGAAATGACCGCTTCCTGAGGGGTGGCGGGGCATTATTGCAGCCCAAGGGCACCGTAAATTACTGCCAAAACTGCAATCAACCTTGACCTTTGAGTTGTTCAATGTCCACCTGAGCAGCGCTCCATTTGAGCAGACCTCTGCTAATTGTCATCCTCATAAAATATCAAAAGTTAACGATCGATGCGACATTCAAACCCGCAACGGCCGTGATCACGACCGAACCAATAACAGCCGCGTCCGGTCGGCCGAGCCGTGACCTCCCGCCGGTCGGCGGCATTGTCCGAGGGTCGGTCGGACCGATGGGCGCCCTCGGCGGGGCGCCGGCTGGGCAGAGGCGGGCGCCAATGGAGCGCGGCGTCACGGCACACCGATCGGAAATGGGCGCTGACGGCGGCTATCGACACGGCTCGTCAGCCGGCGACTGGTTCGAGGCCGGCAGAGACAGTGGCCCGAGTCGGTTACTAGAGCGATAGGCTGACCAGAGGCCGAGCCAGTCACTGGGGCAAGGGAAACTGACCCGAGTCAGTCACACTGGGGCGGCGGAAACTGACCCCAGTCGGCCACTGCACTGGAGAGGTAGACACGCTGTCCTGAGTCGGGCCCGAAGTGCCTGAGACTGACCAGTAGCCATTGAGTTGATATATGTAAGAACTTTGTGATCCGCGTCATTGGCAACGAGAGACCCCGACTCCCTAGGTCAGTGGGGACAGACAGTGGACACTGCTGGACACTGGACAGTGGGCATCAAAGATTGGCAAGCTGGACATTGGACAGTGGGCATCAAAGATTGGCAACCATTGGCAGCTGTGCAGGTTCAGGGAGGTCCGCGTTGTCTGCCCACAGCCGAACTCGGCTCGATATTGCTCCATGCTGGCTCAATCCCAGTGGTATTGTCTGGGTTTCAGCTCTCCTGAACCCTAAACTCACCGGGATTTGGTCGCATTTCGGTTCGTTTCACCTCGGTCTCTGGTCACCTTCCATTAACCCCGTCTGCGCTTCTCTTTTCCTCCAGCCAATTTCGTTCCATCGTCCGCCCAACACTCCCGTGTCGGCGCCATACGAACCATCCGTACCCTGACACGACCCTGACAGGTCATCGGGCGTCGGACAGCGGGCCCGCCCCGTCGGCCGGTCACTCTGACGGCACAGGTGGGTTCGTCGGCCGCTGGACAGACAGACTGACAGCAGTAGCTCTCGGCAGCGGAGCTGATGAAAAGCGGAGGAGATGTGGCCGTAGGTCGAATTGGAGGCATTAGTCTGAGTGGCCCGGTGCGGTGCTGTAGCTTCCAGAGGGTAATTAAAGCCGGCGAGCTGGGACACAGGCGGGAGGTGTTCCCGGCGGCGTCGGTGCTCAGATGACACGCTGGTGTCGGCCTCAGCCCGCGGCGACACGAGCAGCGCTCAGAGTCTGGGCTGGCCTTGGCACGTCTGTGTGCCAGGGGACCTTACCTTGATTCACACCGATGACGCTCACAAAGTTTCACGTCGTCGTCTTGTTTAACTTTTGTCTTTCGAATCATCGCTTGAGAATTTCGCGAAACAAACTCGTCCCAATCAAAGCCATTGTCGACAAACCGGGAGACTGGCGAACTAATTGTCAACTGGCATACACCGCCGGCACTCGGCGGAAATTGGGACGAAATGTGCAGCATTGTAAACGGCGGCCGAGCCTCGTAACCTGTCAGCGGCGCTCTGGCGCCCGATGGAATGGTGATGATACTGCGGCACAGGTCGGGCCGAGCGGAGATATGACAAGCGGACGGGAAAATGCTCTCTGTGAGTTCAGGCGGCGAGGCGCGCGTCATAGGGAGCGCCCGGGGTGGGCACCGGGCCAGGACCGCCGAGGCCAGGCTGGCAGGGTGCCCCTCTAAACCAGCAGGGTCAACCAAGGTGGCGGCGTCTACTCACAGGATCGGTCACATATCCTCCTGAAATTATGCGCAGTGCATGGATGATGGATGTAGTTATGGCGTGAGACAACTTACACTGCATACAGTTTTGATCATTTTGATCACCAAAGACTAGCATGCCTAGTTACGTTGCAGCAAAGTGGTTGTTCTGTACGCTGGCACAGTATACCTATTATTACCTAAGCCTATTTGACATGCATTACGCGTCATGGGTACTCTTATGTCATTCGTTCGATACAATTACTAGTTGTACAGGAATTAGCCCATTTTCTCTGACACGGGTGATTGAATCAATCACAGCCTGTCAAGCCTTCATTGAATCTCAGCCAACCGTAACAGTAACAATGCATTTACTTCTTAGCAGACGTAAGGTTGTTGCGGAAACAATGTCGGTTCATTCAATCAGCGTCGTGTAATAAGAATCGATCGCGTATTTTATTCAATCAGCCTAATAACGTTCACATCTGGCGGTTACATTATACGCACGCAAATGTAACGGGTGGCTGGCTACCGTCCTCACTTTTTTATTCCACTGTAACTGAACAGACTCGCCAATGCCATATCCTTCAAACTGCTGTAAAAACCTATATCACCAGCAGAAAAACGAAAAATCGATCAGGAATGGTGTTTTCCACTGAATGTAACCGGTAAATTGCTGTTGTAAAAATGTAACTACAACAAAAAAAGGATAAATTTCGCTTCAATGAAAGAACATATTTTATTTGCAGCTCACTGAAACAGTTCGCGATTTTGAGTGACGGTGCATCCTTGCAATACTTTTGCGCTATGCCGTTTTCTATCACAGGCTGCTAGCGAGCTTCCCTTTCCATTCTGCCTACATTCCTCGTGCTCAGCTCTGCCCCATTTCTTCTAATCCTCTACTCCAAGGCCGGCCATGCCGCCCAAGTCCATCTCACCCGGGCGCTCAGTCCGCCGCGCCGCGCCTCACCGCCCGTTCCGAGCTGTTTACAACAGTTGCACGGACCGTTCGGCTCACTCCGACTACGGCTGGCTACGGCCGGGTACGGCCGACTACGACCGGCTACGGCCCGCATTGGCCCGCCGCGGCCCGCCGCGGCCCTGTGGTGTGCCGAAATCGGCCGGAAAAACGGCCCCGCACTGGGGCCGCGGCAGATTGTTCTATTGTCGCTCCGTCAGCGGAGCAGACAGCGCGGTCTGTGGCACGAAAATGTGCACCGTGGATTCTAAAAGAGTCTGCCGCACTGAGAGACTAACGGCATACGGTGGCGACCGAAATTGCTGCAGTGGAGACCATCGCGACCCGTGGCGACCGCAGCGACCAAAGCAGAGGTCAATGGGGAGGGATTTCGGCGCTCGACCACACGTGTCCCGGTTCGACTACCGAGGTGACGGCTGAACGCGCGCCGTCCCCGGGAGTTTGAATGTTAGATGGGATGGATTCGGCCCCGGGGATTCGGGGAGATTTAGGATGGAGATGGTGCCTCAGAGCGCGTCGACAGCCATTGATGAGAACTGTCGAACAGAATGTGTTTATTGTACATGGGAGGAGTGAACAGACGATTGTTCGACACGGTATGTGTGGGGGCGTTCTGAAAATATTCCCTTAGCGTTATTTGAAATTTACTGCATGTGATATGCATAAATTGGAAAGAACATAACGTTTTAGTGACAATAAGCTTTTGGTTTACGGGCCAACACAAACTCATGTAATTGTATCTCTTCTTACCGGATGTGGAGGATCAAATGCCAGGCAAAAAGAACGGCATTGGTTTATCATTAACCCAAACAACGCCTGGAGCGAGAAAAGAATCTCCAAAGTTAGCAGACCACCGTGCAAACGATAACAAACAGAGCCCCTCACCGGTGCACCGGCGTTTGATCTACCTCCACCTCCCCCGCCGATCGAGCCCGTTCCACAATTGGACGGCGGGCGCGTCACGCCTCAGTTCAGCCGTTTTCCGTTTAAAACGCAGATGATTGCGTTCAAACGCGGCCACCGCCCGCGTGTCTGTGACCAGGTGAAGCGCGTCAAACCGCTTCCGCTGACCGGGCTCGTGCCGACACTTGCGACAGGGGGGAGGCGACCGGCGACACGCCTCACCGATCTCCCTAATGACTCCTTCAAAACGGCTGGGGCGCGTGCCGTCCGCCGGCGCCGCGGTGGAGCTGGATTGGTAAAGGGTGCGCCGCCGCCCACCGGTCCCCTGTCCACCCCTGCTGTGATCGGTCCCCCACAGAGGGTTCAAGGGTAACCCAGTAGCCGGGACTCGTTACCGCGGCTGGGGGCGGTTTGGGCAGCACCTGAGCCATGTCACCTGTTTCCGGTGCGCCCCTGTTCTCCCTCTCTGGTGCTCCCTGTTGGCGAAGCACGAGCACAGGGACGGTGCCACGGGGGCACGAGGCGGGGAGAGGGAGAGGAGGGAGAGGGAGAGCGACTGTCAGCAATGAGGACCACCCGGCGTGCCTTTGGAGTCGACACGCACCACTATTGATTCAACTGGGGAAACGGCAAATGTCAGACCGGCCGTCCACAGCACAGACAGTGGGGCCGTGACTGGCTTCAGGTTCAGCCAGCACCGCCAGCAGAGTCCCTACAACGGCTGTCCGCTAATAATTGAGGACGGGTCAGACAGCGTAACCGTTCAACGGAAGTGTGATCAAGAACCATGGGCTAACGGACTGTCCGAACTGAAACTCCGCATCGTGTGCACAATGGCTGGGATAACCGTTTGAGATGTTCACATTTTTCGCATGTTTCCTGCCTGCTCCCATGGGACGCGTGTGGTATGTTCCCCAACAATGTGTCAACTCGTATGCCCTCTTGACTTAACGAGTCAACACATGTCCGAACTATGGCATTGTTTGCCCGTCAGAGAGTTCGGCAAACAAGGATACTCGA